CAAACATTCAGTATGTTTGCTTTGCTGTACTAATTAAATTCCATTTCGAGCTCTTTCTACCTCCATTCTCACAGCAGTTTCAAATGGAAGATGAGATATTTCTAAAACACTGTGCAGCAGACGTTGTAACTCAGGAGTGGGTGAAGTAGGGCCAGGAAAGCAAAGGCAGGGAGCTGTGAGGGGTGGATTGTTTTCCAGGTTTTTCTCTTTATTTGCTCTGCTATGATATGCAAGTGGTTTATCCTCCGTGCCCCAGCACCTCTAGCTGTTGAAAAGATATGATACCAGAGGACTTCCCAGAGTCTAACTACTTTTTGTTGGAGAAAAGCACTGCAAAACTGATGAAAAATGCCACAGAAGGGTGCAGAGCTTTACTAGTCTTTTAAGGTCTGACCAGAAGGCCACTGAAGTAGAAAAAAGACATTGATAATGGCTTCAGTGGACTTCGAATTGGACTTTTAGCCAGCTATCACTCACTGGGTTGCACACATTTGTCATGGCCTTCCCTCTGTGTCATTGTCTCTACCCACTCGTGCTGGAGCATTCCCAGGGAAAGCCAATCTGCAGGAGCTGTTTTCTTTCACTAGATAGTGGAATTATTTTTTCTTTGAACTCAAAAATTACTTTAGATTACATTTTTGTATTCCAATAGCACTGAGAAATTCCAAAAAAAGATCACGAGCTTGACAGGTTTAACAAAACTATAAAGGAGCATATGCTGCAGACATTCACAGTCTAACAGGCATCTACCATCACTCCCAACTGGTTCTACCGCAAAGAGTTAAAGCCTCTGGAGGCTGGTGGGTTTCGTGTTGTGCCATCTGAAGACAAGAGAGAAAAGGGAAGGAAAAAAGAAAAACGGTCACAGCCAGTTGGCCCCAGCAGACCCAGTTCTCAGGGGCACATCTGCGAATTCAGCAGGTAGATTCCCCTCCACCGAGCTGTCTCTCCACGCCACAAGCACCCTGTGCTGTCCAAGAAGACTCCTCAAAGTGCTCCCATTTGAATCCCAGTTCCATAGAAAGATTTCGGAGCATCTCTATCTCTCTAACCTCTATCAGCCAGGTACGTCTAAATTATTGTTTTGCCCAAAGCAAACTTGGTTGATACACTTAGCAAATGTTTTGAGAAATACTCTATAAAGATGTCCTTCCTTAAGCCTATTTATGGAAGACTTCAGAGCTCTGGGGGTGTCTGGATATGATTTTGATTGTGAAGAATTTGGGAACAGCATTTGCTTTCCAGGGTTATGTGTCTTCATTTTGCAAAGGGAGAGGCTGCAGACCAGTCAGAGAAAAAAAAAAAAAAAAAAAAAAGTAATTCTACCATCGGTATCTGTGTTCATGCCAAATAAAACATTACGGCAAACTAATGACAATATAATGGTCAGCGATGAGCATTTACTAACTCATTTACTAACTCCATGCTGTCCTGCAACCTCTTCTCTCTGTGTCCAAGCATCACTGTTTCAGTGCCTTGTCTTGGTGTAAATGAAAGGGGCTTTGGGTTTGCTACCCCTCATCAGATCAAATCATTCACTATTTGGTAGCATTCAAATTACTCTGAGATTATTATGAATATAGTATTTGTTAACCTTGGCAAATATTAATATGAAAGGTCACACTACACAACAGTACTCAGTATTCATTGTTCTCCTGTTTAAAATGTTTCTGTTGCCTGCTCAGGTAACAGGCACAGCACACAGGTGAACTAACAGTTAGAACACAGGGTCAAAGAGAGCCCTGTAGGGGTACTCTTAGGTACTTCCAAAGTAGGAAACACAGGTTGGGAGTGACTCAGTGCCTAACCATAGTAATCTTGTGACATTTTATAATTTACCAGGACCTAGGACACAGGACCTATGGGCGACTTGCTGCCTTCCATAGCAGAAGTTAGAAGAGAAGGACTTCTAAAGGCATATGAAATGTCATTTGATGTTTAGGCGCCTGAATCCTACCCCTTGTTTCTAAAACACATTCTTCCTATACTTCTCAGTGAACACATAATAACTTTTCTGAAATAATAACCCACACACAAAATTGTAACTATGTCCACTTAGTACTTCCATACTAAGCACATTTCAAATTACATCAACTACTGCTTTTAAAAAGCACCTTCTCTCTTCATTTGAGCCTTCTGTAAATAAATTTCCCAACGGATCTATCTAAATCTGAGTTCCTTGTAATCTCTTCTTGCCATACAATTATTAACTGAAAAAACACAGCTCAAAGTCAAAGTCATAAATTTGATTTTAAAATAAAATGAGGGAGAGTATTAGTTTTCTTCTTGCTGTTAGCTTAGCTCCATTCTCTGCAGTTCACTTCTTAAATACAGGCGCTATAAAAGTAAGGCTGAGATTCTCACTTATTTGTGTAATCCTTGGAGCCTGATCTTTTATAAAAATACCAAATATGATGAAGCATAACTCAGGTCACCATAACTGTTTATGTAACTCCCCCCTCCTCTATTTATCCATCTTCTCCTAGTGTCTTCTCCCCTCTATCTTGTGCTGTACCACAACAATGGTATTTCTCCGTTTCATCCACACCAGCACTAAAACTAATCCACCTCCACAGATGCATGGTTTTGAGCATAAAGCCACAAAAAACACTTTAAACTGTTCGGTTATGGGGTTAGATGTCTAGCTTTTGGGTTCCCTGAAGCTGCTTTGGGTCAGCTGAGCGTTGGCCCAAAGGTGTTGGAAGGTTAGAGGTGGAAAGTCAGCATGGCCAAAGATCAACCACGCTGAATTAACACACCCTCATTAGCATGAAACAACCTGGAAAGCCAAAGCAATTCCAGCAAGTGCCTAAGGAGCTACTTTTGTCAGAGAATTTAGGCTAAATATTCTCTCCGTTACTTACTGAACTTATGTAAAGCTCAAGAAATATTAAGGGATGATCAGGAGCAAGTGCGTTTAAGTGTTTTTATTTAACCACTAAGTTGTGTGTGTCTATTAATCTCACTTTTTAGCATTTTCATTGGTCTTTTCTCCACTCCGTACCTGCAACAGTCTCTTCAGACAGTATACTCCTCGGAACTGAGCACTGCTGGACATTTGGGAAATAGCTTGTGACACTACAGACACTAATAACTGTCATACTTGGAGATTCTTGAGGTATATGTTAAGAATGTGAGGTGAATGCCAACATTTCAATTAAATTATTAGCCATTTTTAGTACTCCTGTTAGACTGCTAACATAAACCAGCAGTTAAATGTAGAACACTAGGGTTACAAAATACAGAGCACTAACTTACAGATGTGCTTGTGGCATCTTCAGTATGGGACACATATTACTTTTCCAAAGATGCTGTAAACACACCGAAGCTCAGTAACCACACAATATGAACAAAGAGACGAAGGAAATCTAACCCAGTAAATCCAACTTAGTGCAAGCTTCTCTAACACCATTTTTGAATGGCTATAAGAAACAAGCAGCAGAGATGCTTGTTCAACAGATCACCCGAAGGTAAACATATCTTGTCAAATCTTTCTTCGTGCAAATAATAAGAACAAATCCTGCTGTGGATACTGACTTGCTCAGAATAGGATTCACTAATTTAATTAACTAGTAACTGAAAAGGCATCTAAATGCTGAATAAACCCCCACCTTCAGGGCAGAGGCATTAGGACTGGCAACCCAGTGAGCAGAACCAGACCGTGATTTTTGGATGATTCCACAATGTGCAAATGGATGAGACAGCTATTCCATGGATCATTTTCAAAATAGACTGAGTAGTGGCTACGCCTACCCTGCTGTGGGCTCTGGCCTAAGCGCATCTGACAGGGCTCACCTACCTTTGAAAGCTTTTAGTGGCAGATCTATATTCTAGCCCAGCAGTTTGGGAACCAGAAAGTGGGGCAGGCAGGCAGTACAGGAATGGGGTACAACAGTTCCTTCTGTGCGTGAAAACATGTGCTGATGGCAATTTGATGTAGTCAGTATCATCACTTCCCATGATTTTACACTGACTTTCCCTGTTCACTATGTTGTTCCCGAGTCCCCAGGCTTTGATGTAACATAACTAGATGATACCCATCCTTCCTTAAAAAAGAAACCCTACGTGCCTTGGTTTTGTTGTTACAGCAAAATGAAAAGCAGGAGCAAGGAAAATCTGAATCCTGAAGATTTCAAAAGAAGGAATTGTATTTTAAAATGTAGAGGGGTCTTTTTTCAAATCTTGTATTCAAAAGCTTGTTCACACCTTCAAATTCTGGGGACTGGGCAAAGGCTGGGACAGAGAACCTGGACACTTAGTAAAAGGCACAACTCTGCTGTCACCAAAGGGCAGTGCCAAAGAACTGGGCAGCTTTTCCCTCTCTCCAGAGCTCCTTCATTATCCAGGCTGACTACATAAACTCCTTTAGATTTTTGAACAAACAGGTAAAAAAAAGTGAAAGACACCCCTTGAAACCTACTCATGAAAGCATGAGCAAGAGCAGACATCAAAGATAAAGAACTGGATGGCACTCTGGAAACCCCCGGCAGCGAGATTCCCAAGCCACACAGCCACCCCCCAGTGCAAGATTCACCCAGGCACTGACAGCTTCTACCTCGGCTGCAGCGCGGCCACAAACGCCGCCAGCACCGCCTGCTCCCGAAGGCTTTGATGTTTCCCTTGGAAACCTGCAAAACGTTCACCTGCAGTTTGCACTGGGCTGCGCAGGCCCTCAGCCGGCTGACCCTGAGGGGGCCGGCCGGGCCCCGGGGCCTGCCGCTGCCCGCCCTCCCGCCGGCGGGGCCCGCTCTCGGGGAGCAGGCCGGCCGCCCCCCGGCAGGCCCGCGGGACCCCCGTCCCTTCTCTGCACCCCCCTCCTCCGGCCCTCTGAGGCGGCCTGCGGCACCCCCGCAGCTCCGCCGCCCCAGCCCCGGCACCCACCGCCGCCCCGAGGCGAGAAACGGGCAGGGAAGAGCCCGCCCTGCGCCACCCCCGGCGCTGGTCCCTCCGCCCCCGGGCGCCTCGGAGCCAAAGCCACGGTCCCGCGCGGCCCCACTCACCCGCCGCCTGCCTCCTCCTCACGGCCGGGGCCGAGCGGGGCGGCGGGCGGGCAGCCCCACGCCGGGCCGGGCCGGGCGGGAACTACAGGCCCCAGCAGGCCACGGGGCCGCCGTTGCCATGGGAGCGGCCGGGCCCGCAGCGGAGAGGCCGCCCAGGCCCGAGTTACGGGCTGACAGGCCATAGTTAGTACAAAATCCCGCGGAACTGGTGCACGGGCCTTTGGTTCGGGATTTGGAGCGGGTCCAGAGGAGGGCCACAAGGATGATCAGGGGGATGGAGCACCTCTGCTACGAGGACAGGCTGAGGGAGCTGGGGTTGTTCAGCCTGGAGAAGAGAAGGTTCCGGGGAGACCTCATAGCGGCCTTCCAGTACCTGAGGGAGGCCTACGGAAGGCTGGGGAGAGTCTGTTTACAAAGGCCTGCAGTGACAGGACGAGGGGCAATGGCTTTAAGCTGAAGAAGAGCAGATTTAGATTGGAGATTAGGAGAAAGTTCTTTACTGTGAGGGTGGTGGAGCACTGGAACATGTTGCCCAGGGAGGTGGTTGAGGCCCCTTCCCTGGAGATATTCAAGGAGAGGCTCGATGAGGCCCTGGGCAACCTGGTCTAGTTGGGGGTGTCCCTGCTGACTGCGGGGGGGTCGGACTAGATGACCTTTGGAGGTCCCTTCCGGCCTGGATGATTCTATGATTCATGTCTTGAGTTGCATAAAAGGATCTCTTCTGGGGTCTCAAAGCATGAACTGAAATGCAGCTTCAATACGATTGTCAGGCAGCTCTCATAGGGTCTAAAGTATCTTTCATCTCTTTCTTTTGTGTTTTTTTCCTCAGCTATCAAGCACGGTATGGCCCAGTCGGCAGGCGAAATGTCGCTGCAGGTGGTGTCAGCCGTCAATAACTCGTCCTTGCTGCAGCCGGGCTTCTCACTCCTGAATTTCGGTGGGCAGATTTTCTTCTTTGGGCAGAAAGGCTGGCCCAAAAGATCCTGTCCCACTGGTGTCTTCCTCCTGGAAGTAAAGCAGCATGAACTCAAAATGAAACCTGCCTTCTTCTCTAAAGACTCCTGCTACCTCCCCCCTCTGCGCTACCCTGCCCTTTGCACACTCAGAGGTGATGCAGAGTCTGATGAGTGCCAGTATGTCATCCATGGTGGGAAAACACCCAACAATGACCTTTCTGATAAGATTTACGTTATGAGTCTGGTAAGCAAAACCAGCAAGAAAACCACCTTCCAGTGCGTTGAGAAAGACCTGGGTGGAGATGTCCCTGAAGCCAGATACGGGCATACAATTAACGTAGTTCATAGCCGGGGAAAAAGCATGAGCGTTATATTTGGAGGGAGAACATACACTCCTCTTGCACAAAGGACCACTGAAAAATGGAACAGCGTAGTCGACTGTTTGCCATCCGTGTTTCTTGTTGATTTTGAGTTTGGATGCTGTACGTCATATGTACTTCCAGAGCTTCAAGATGGACTTTCTTTCCATGTTTCAGTTGCCCGAAATGATACAATCTACATTTTGGGAGGCCATTCCCTTCAAAATAACACCAGGTCCCCCAGCTTGTACAAATTAAAAGTTGATCTTCCACTGGGAAGCCCAGCCGTGACTTGCAGCATCTTGCCAGGGGGGATATCTGTGTCAAGTGCTATAGTGACTCAAACTGGTGATACCGAATTTATCCTTGTCGGGGGCTACCAGTCTGAAAATCAGAAACGGTTGGCATGTAACACCATAGTTCTGGAAGACAATAAGATAGAGATTGTTGAAAGGGCAAGCCCGGACTGGACACCAGATATTAAACACTGCAGGATGTGGTTTGGCTGTGATATGGGCAAAGGGTCTGTATTGCTGGGCATCCCAGGAGCCAACAAACAGTTAATCTCAGATGCCAACTACTTCTACATTTTAAGATGCAAAGGAGCAGAAGAGGACAAGGAGGAAGAACTGGCAGCACAAATTTGCAGTCAGACATCGAGCGAAGATCCCGGAGACTCCACTCCCTTTGAAGATTCGGAAGAGTTTTGTTTTAGCGCTGAAGCCAATAGCTTTGATGTTGATGATGCTGACACTTACAATGAAGATGATGAAGAAGATGAATCAGAAACAGGCTATTGGATCACCTGCTGTGCCACTTGCAATATTGACATTAACACCTGGGTCCCTTTCTATTCAACGGAGCTCAACAAGCCTGCAATGATCCTGTGTTCCGGTGGGTCTGGCCACTGGGTCCACGCGCAATGTATGGATCTCTCAGAGACCATGCTCCTACGTCTCTCAGAAGCAAACATCAAGTACTTCTGCAACGAACATGTCGACCTTAATAAAGGGCTGCAAACTCCCAAAAAGGTGGTGCGCCTGAAAAAGCAACCCATGAAACCACTGCGCAAAAAGGCAACTATGAAGTTATCAACGCCCATGAAAAAGTCCTTTCTTCGGAGGTTGTTTGAATAGATTCACTCTGCTGATATAGTCACCTGGGAGAAGGAAAGCCGCAGTCAAAGGCAGCTAATAATGGTTGAAGCAGAATCAGTTACTGGAGCTCAGTGAGATCTTTTTATTTAATTGATCTCAATGATCTCAATGTTTCAGTTACATGTCAAAGCTCACAGATTTTTTTTGTCTCTTATTTGTCTTTATGTAGTACCCGCTTAGGAGCCCCGTCACAGAGGGCATTGTCAAACACGCAGCCAGATACGGGTAACTTTGTGCTGTATTTTGGGCTATAACTTACTCCCTGGTTATCCCCAGTGAGTTTTATGGAACTGCTGGTAGCATAAGACGTTACCCCGTGTACTTGGTGGTGTTCGCATCTGCCCACGGAGAGCATTCTATTACCCATTTTTATTTTTTGTCTTAATAGTTCTAGAAATAATTGGCCTAATTTGTAACGGCATTACTCCCATTTTATGTTGATGTAATGAAATAAAATAGACTAATTACTCTGGTTTTAAACTGAAGTGGTGGCTTGAGTCCCTTGTGTCAGGAATAATGAAATATTCAGACACTGAAGGTCAGTTTTGTTCAGGGGCTTCCGTTACGGAAAGCTTACATATGGAGCATTTAATTCTGGATAATTAATTTTTGATTTTGAGGGGTACTGAATGTCAGTATGTCAGTTTTGGCTACAGCTGTGGAATATCATCTCATCGTAGAAATCAAATTGCTTTTTTAAACCTCTGAGCTCAACAACTGCTTTGTGTCTGTATTTTTAAAAATCTAGTAGGGTAATAAAATTTATAATAAAAATGACTGCATTTGTTTCACCTACTCATGGGGTAAATCAAACGCTGTAAATCCCAAAGTCTATGAAATGACAGCACGTGTGCTTGGGAGGTCCACCGAGGTCTGGTGAGTGGTCTGGCTTCACGGCTGCCCCGTGCTGTGAGCCCCTGGGGGCTTCAGAAGAAGTTCCTTCTGATGAGCAGGACTTTTATCATTTACTCCAGGTCCTGCACTACCCGTTTCTTTCTGTGCTCTCTTTCTGTGACTGTGCAGAGTGTGAAAGCCGGACAGCGCACGCTGTAGCTCAGAGTGACTCGGAGAGCCCACGGAGCATTGTGAGGGTGGAAACAACCGCAGCTGGCTGCTAGAGCACGGGGAGAAGATTGGATTCAGATTGAAAAGGACATTGTCAAGGTTGAATGGCCTGAGAGTTTACTAAATTTTTTGTGGATTCTTTTATTGGCTATTTGTAAAGCCTCATCATTCCTGACTTTATTTTTGATTTTTATTACTGCTCCAGACATCTTTTCAAAAAAATCAATGCCATCAGCCCAACAGTAACAGCGCAGTGCTCACAGCCGAGCTCTCCTGCTGGACCCCTGAATCAAACAGAGAGACAGGGGCATCGGCCAGTCCTTTGGTTGCTCCGTGCAGACCCGAGCCCCCACTCCTTCACAGAGCAGCCTGTGTGGCACAGCATTCCTCTCGAGACAGACAGGGGTGTGCAGGACCCCCCCCTTGAACCTTCACAGCACAAGTCAGCCGCAGAGGAAGGTGAAGGGCAACCACACAAAGTTTGGGTTTCCACCCTTGGCGTGTGCTGAGGGAGGTCACAGCTTGGGTAGAGCTTGTAAGTGGGAAGTGCATCACCCTGACTCCCCTCACACCGCTTCGATACGGGTATAAATTTCAGTGCCAGCTTCCCATTTCCTTTGTCATGCTGCTATACCTTAGCTCAGAGTATGTTTTTCCAAGGAATAAATTAATATCATGCCCGTGTAAAGTCCCTTCAAACTGGTGAAATTCAATAGTCAACATCCGCTTTCGTAGGTTAGTCACAGCTGAATTGTCATTAAAATATGCAGTCATCACGCACTCTTCATAGACTTCATCGACATCAGCCAAAAGAAATCCACATCAAAATTAAAGCCACCTCATCAGAACAGCAACCATGGGGGACAATATACTCACACGACAGGACTCCACCCCTCATCCCTTCACTGCTTTACGACAACAAAAGGCTCCCCACAGTTCCTGAGCTCCCTGGCAAAGGTCCGTCCAAGTTCTTGCCTGCCACCCTCTCCCAATGACTGTCATTCTCCCAAATTCCACAGACCCCACGATTGTGTGACAAGTCCATCTGCTGGTGCAGGCAAATAAAAGGATGGAAACATCTTCCAAAGGGAAAGCTCGACGCTGGCCTAGCCGAGGTGATGTTCAGCCTGAGATGAAGCCTGGTGGCCCAGCTCGGGCACCAGTGGGGCAGTTGTAGTACAGTGGGAGCAGCTCTTTGAGTTCCCAGAAGTGACTCCCGTGGCCGAGGTGACTCCCCGAGCCCTGGTAGCCCAAAGCAGGGACACTCAGCACGTGGCAAGTGCAAGCACACATTGTGGCCCCTTCAGCCCTTACCTGAATTGCTGTTCTTGGCCTTAGGGCTGTGGCTGTGAAAAAAGCAATTCACAGTCAGGCTTTACAATGTTCCTTATCAGGCCCATAATGTTAGTGTATTGTATGTTTGAGCTAGGGTTTTTTTTTTTTAAATTTATGTTTTCTTTGAGTAGGAGGGAGAAATTGCTTGGTCAAACCATGTCTCAGCCTCACAGTGAAGGGCGGTGGAAGCAGCATTAAATCTAGTCCAACCATCAACTTAACTCTGACAAAAAGACATCACTAAACCATGTCCCCCAGCACCATGTCAACCCGTCTTTTGAACATCTCCAGGGATGGTGCCTCAACCCCTTCCCTGGGCAGCCCATTCCAATGTTTGTCAACCCTTTCTGTGAAGAAATTTTTCCTAATCTCCAATCTGAACCTCCCCTGGGGCAACTTGAGGCATTTCTTCTTGTCCCATCGCCTGTTCCTTGGGAGAAGAGACCGACCCCCCCTGGCTACACCCTCCTTTCAGGGAGTTGTAGAGAGCTAGAAGGTCTCCCCTCAGCCTCCTCTTCTCCAGGCTGAACACCCCCAGCTCCCTCAGCCTCTCCTCACAAGACTTGTGCTCCAGACCCCTCACCAGCTCCGTTGCCCTTCTCTGGACCCGCTCCAGCCCCTCAACGTCTTTTTTGTGGGAAGAGACCCCAAACTGGATATGTATATAAAAAATAAACCTAGATAAATATAATATTCCAAAGGACTGGAACATAAAGAGGTACCTCAACACCAGCCTGTAAGAAGACACTTGACATAGCTTTCAAGACTGCAGAAAGTACTTAATTCCCTGATAATTCTGATGACACTTCTGAGTCATGTACTTGTTAGAGCATTGATTGTCTTCAAAACCAGCTAATCAATACTAGATGTTTCTTCCTCAGGCAGGTTTGAATCAGGAGATAAAATGAAGTAGATTTGAGTGCAGAAGTAAATCTCCATTGTCTCTGCATCCATCTGACCTATGTTTTGTAACTGCTACAAGCAGCATCATGGTTTCCAGCCACATTTCAGTAACACTGTGTAGTTATTATCAACTTTTACGAGAATAATATGTGGATTTTACTGCTATTGAAAGGTGCTTGGGCCCTGAAGTGCCTGATTAATCTACAGGAAAGTCACAGCACAAACTTTATTGGTAGCACTAAAGCAAGTGTCATAGTTCAGAGTGACTCATTGCACCTATAGAGCATTGAAAAGAGTGGAAATAATGCAACTAGGAGCCCAAAGCAATAGGAAAAGATTGAATTCAGATTGAAAAGGAATCTGTAAAGTTATTTACTGCTAGACTCAATGTATTAAAGACAGGGCTGTCTTACTTCTGGTTTTTCATGGTTGGTAGTTGTAGCTCCCTCCATGTTTGATTTCCTGCCCTTTCAAACAAGACTAACTTCTGGGAAGAGCTTGAGCAACAGCTGCTGAGAATCAGACTCCAATTCAGTGTCTCTACTTGACCTTTGAAAATTGTGACACCAAAGCCCATTTTTTCTTTAAGAAAAAGCAAGACAATAACCTTATAAACTCTCTTGATTTTTCAATACCTATGCATACAGGGGAAGAACAGGACACTGGCTGCTCCCACAGTGTCCAGAACCTCCTTGGGGTGGTAGTTACCATGTACTTCCTTCTTCACTGACTCAGAATTCCCATCTTCAGGGGGTGTTGAAAATACACCTCTTGTCCTCTCTCCTGATGCTGCTAGAAAAGGTGCTAATTAAATCCTTTCTAATGTGTCTTTTTGTATTATGGGCAATATGAAGCTTTAGGCAGAAGGTTGAAAAGCTCCCACATTTGGGAGTTGCAGCTGGTCATCTGTTTGAAAGTTATGCCATATTCAGTCACCTAAGCCAGTACCCTGAAGAGGAGTGGTGACAGGCCTTGTTATTCTTCATCTGGTCCTGGAAATAAAATTCAGACAGTTATTTACGAATGAAGGAGTTAAATCATCCTAATTTACCAAGAAACTCTCTGAGGCTTGTTTGTTTTTTTCTTGTTTTACATGAGTTCTGATTTTAGTAGGAATACATGGAAAATAAAATTCAGACAGTTATTTACGAATGAAGGAGTTAAATCATCCTAATTTACCAAGAAACTCTCTGAGGCTTGTTTGTTTTTTTCTTGTTTTACATGAGTTCTGTTTCTTCCAACATTTTTGATGCACGATCAGCCAAAAGGACTAAGTTGGTGATATGAAATCCAGCAATTAGATGTCTAATTGCCTGATTGCACGAAGAAATCAGGTAGCTTAATTTGCCCATCATTAATCCCATCCAAACCAGTTGGCTTGGTTGGATTAGTTCCATCCAAACCACTTAAGTCTTTCGACCCTGAGATATCATTGCAGGGAAGAAAGAAGGATTTCCTGAAGTGGGATAAAGGGAGGCTACAAATCTCAAACTGAAAGGTAGATTTGCAGCTCAGTCTACAATGAGGAGCTAAAATTTGATGCAAAGGGTGCCCAGAAACCAGTAAAGAAGCTTAACGTATTAGCATGGACATAAAAGCCCAAGGCTGATTTTAAACAAACGCTGGGATAGTATTTGTAAATAAAGCAAAAGCCATTTACAGACTAAATAAAACTGGTTTTAAATTAGTTTAGTTTTCTGTCAAACAGCTGCCGGGGAGGAAAGGTGCTGAAAGGGCTGCTGAGACTCACAGAGTCATCTTCATTTCTGTTAATTTAGTGACTTCCAGAACAGGGCTGAAATCACAGCTGTCCCTGGGTATTCAAACAGCCTGAATATGAAAAGCATCCACAATTTGAATGAAAACTAAGACTTTTACCATGAAATTACGTGCATAGCTGAAAAGCTGGTAAGAAATACAAACCCAGAAACTTAAATATTTAGAAGACCTTTATTTTAAACAGGTTTCATGAATTAAGAAACTGTAATACAGTAAGAAAAATTATAATTATGAAGCCACGCAGTGAGACAAAGCACAGAACTCGGTGTAGTCAGAAATTAGGATGCTGTAAATATCTAGAATTCATTTCTGAACTACCTGACAAAAAAGTCAAAGCTGATTTGCTTGAAGTCAATAGAATTATTACTGTGAGCAAAAGTAGATGTGAGATCAGAATCATGGCTTCTGACATAGTTCACCTCATTTCAAAGCATGGCAAATCACAGTTCTGAGCCCTTGAATAAAGCCAAAGAAAACAAGATACATGAAGTGATTGTATAAGAACTACAGTCAATACAATTTTAGAACAAGGAAATTATTTACCATGAATTATTGTGCTGCACCTGGGGACAAAAAAAACCCGGCACCAGGTTGGGGGCTGACCTTCTGGAGAGCAGCTCTGAGGAG